CCCCCCACGGTAGAGGTTGCCCAGCCCCCACGGTAGAGGTTGCCCAGCCCCCCCACGGTAGAGGTTGCCCAGCCACCACGGCAGAGGTCACACTAGAGCTGAGAGGCCCCTGGCCCAGCCCTGGGGGCCTCTGTGAGCAGACCTGGGTGGCTGGGGTCCCCCGCCTGCTGCTGACTTGAAATGCTTGCAGGGTTTTAGGCAGTTGGGCCTCTGCTCTGAAGCCCCACAGGCAGGGACAACAGGCCTCCTTCCCCAAGGAGCGAGCGCATAACCCCAGGGGCAGGCGGGAGGGGACACAGGCCCCGTCCCCAAAGAGCTCGGAGCCTCAGGGAGGAGCCTCCAGGCAAACAGCCTTTTCCTGACCCAGGGGAGCGCGGGAGCTGACCGGGGTGCTGAACGGGCAGCCGGGCGAGGTGTGTGGCGTCCTCAGCCAGGGTGGAGACACTTTCAGCACCAGGGCAAAGCCTCCAGTTGGAGCCGAACCAAACTTTCTGCCAAGAACTGGGGATCTTTAAAAGGAGAACCCACAGAGGAAAGGGGGGGTCTGTGGGTGGAATCTTGGGGCACCTCGAAGTCAGAAGACCATGGAGGCTTGGCGCACCCCAGGGCGCTGTGCAAGGCCACCCAGAGCCAGCGCCTCTTTCCTGAGCTGCGGGAGGCCCACGCCCAGCCCTGCCTGTGTGAGTGGGGCGCCCCGTGTGTGCCCGTGTGCACCCCAACTGCCCACAGCACAGAAGCCCACCCTTGGCCGGGCCTTTCCACCGCTAAGGAAACTTCTCTTCCAGAGGCTACACAGAAGCTCTCCAGGGAGCTGGCCAGGTGTGGGATCTCTGGGGGACACGGCAGCAGGGATAGAGGGGGTGCACAGCGACCCCCCAGCAGCTGGGGGGAGCCTACAGCTCCCGGAAGAGCCAGGCAGCCGGCAAGGGCTTCGAGGTGGAACCAGGGACACCGTTCCAGAGCCTTCTCTCCCGCGAACCGCCTCTCCCCTCTTCTCTTTTGTTCCCTCTCACTCCGACTGGGCGGGAGGGCGGGGGAGGGCCGGCCTGGGGCTCAGGGCCAAGGTGCTGGCCGTCCCTCGGCCTCGCCGCTCCACAGGGCCGGTCCTCAGCTCGGAGCGTGGCCCGGTGGCACACTGAAAGGGCATTTTAATGTCACTCGGCGCTGCCGGCTCCCGAAGCTGGCACACTCCCCGGCTCCCGGCGACCACCGTCCCCCGCCCCCCGCGGCTCTCCGCGGCCCTTCTCCCAGACCGGCTCCAGCGCGCGTTCCGAAAATGGAGAGCACAGCCAGGGCAGGGCTTCTATGGCTACATTGTTCAGGGCGCCAAGCCCGCTAAGATGCCCAGCAGCCCTCACGCACACGGCGGCTCGCCACTCACGCCTCACGCCACGCTGCCGCGGCCCCCAGCCCCGCACCTCCGGCCCACAGCGCACCCAGCCCTTCCCGACCGGCCCCAGCGCGCAATTGCCACGGCTGCTTGGGCAGCCCCAAGGGCAGCCTCGCACCCACAGGCAGGGTCAGCGCGGGGGGGAGGGGGGGGAGGCTCTGCTGGGAGGGTGCCAGGGCCGGGCAGGACAGTGGCAGCCAGATGACCCCTCCAGCTGCCCTTTGAACTTCTCACAGGGGGTGTGAGGAGCCCTAGGGCAGCCCGCAGCCCCCCAGGGCCAGGGCTGGGACTCAAGGGGTTCAGGCACCGTCTCGCGCCCGCCTGCACCCCTCCCTCCACCCCAGATGCAGCCAGCACTGCCCCTCTCCAGCCCCGGGGGGGGCGCCGGGCAGGGGGCCCCACTCCCCACTTTGCCGGGCGGTGGCGCGGGCGGGGGGCACGGCGGGCTGGGAGGAAAATGGCGCTGTGTGCACGTACTTGAGTGAGTTCGGTGCCCATCAGGATGAGGAAGAGGAGGCTGAGGAGCTTCCGGGCCGGCTGCATGTCTCCCTGCCACCTCCGACGTCCTGGCATGCGGGGGCCTG